CCTCCACCACCAGTCCATTACTCTTTTCTCTGCCCTTGTAAACTCAAACTCTCCTTGGAGTCCGAAGCAAGGTCTCTTTAAGCACCTTTAGAAGAAGCTATACAAATCTCATTAGACAATTTTCAACCACCTTGACATGTTAGACTTCTGTCTCCATCTCTAGAGAAGACAAGTTGAAGCCTAAGAAAGACTTATCCCAGCTATGATTGGCTAGGATCAGTATCTATTTTGTCTGATTCTTTCCTCTGTACCACATGTGGCATGACAGCTGCTTTGCCAGAAAGCCACACTTCTGGGAGATATAGGCAGGATTGGGAGACAGTGAGAAAAGTTAGGGAGCAGAAAAGACAGTTTGATCTTTAGCTTTTAAGTCATCAAATTGGAGTGATTGTTAACCTCTTACATTCAGCTAAGACTAGAAAAAACAGCATATTCTTACTGAAATACCATACAGGGAAGTTCTCCTTTCCTAGTAATCTTGGGATGTTTGCCACTTTTTGTGCCAGTGCTTAATACAGACCATCTATTTTTTTTCAAACCTACATTTAGATCTGGACAGGACAAAATTCGACACTGGTAAGCTGGCATTCTGAATAACAGGAATCATGTGATGCAAAAGACAATCTCAAACAAGTTACAGGAGTGGGTCTCCTGGCAGCTTCCCTACTGCCCCAGTGGCTGTGAGTTCAAAGAGCCTAATGCTGCCCTGCAAAATCCACCGCGCTTCTTCGCTCTTTGCTGCTCTTTTGTAGGGGGCTATAAGAAAAAGACAGGAAATCGTGATGGTGAGGAAAGCTGAGGGACACAACTTATTGTATGACCTATAGCAAGTCTTTCCCCAAACTTCATTTTGTTATTGATAATCTTTTTTTCCTTTTATTTTATTTTACAATACCATCCAGTTCTACATATCATCTTATTGATAATCTTGAGTTGGTAAAACCAGATGAGTTATAAGGGAATTTTACTAGGATTTGTTCTTTACTATTTATGAGAAAGCTGGCCAAGGCCACAAGAAATTACTGTTTCATTTCTGTTAAACATATTGTCAATCATTTAGTTCATGTTAATATTTATTTCATTTATTTAAATTTTAAAAACACATTTTAGTCACTTTCTTTCTGTACAGGGGATTGAATACAGAGTTTTGTACATGTTAGTCAAATGCTCTGCCAATGAGTTTTATCCCCAGGCCTTTTGTTTGTTTGTTTGAGATAGGGTCATATTACACAGTCCAGGTTGGCCTCAAACCTGAAGTTTTCCTGCCTCTGTCTATGAATGGTGATATTCAGGCATGTACTATCATAAGTGGCTATCACCACAGTTCATGAGCATTTGCTACATAACAAGTACTAAGTTAATGGCTTTATATGCTTTATTACATATTGTCACAATGACTTTATACACATTCTTGTGGCTATAAAAAAACTAGATGTCAGGGACATAAAATCATTTATCTAAGCTGTCCAGCTAGTTAATGGCAGAGCTAGAATTCAAGCCCATTTTTAAAAGTCAAAGTCTAGGTACATAACTGGGATGCTGAAAACACAGTATGAAGGAAGTCAATAGGTGGAAGGAACAAGGATATTGTCTTTGAGGCCTTTCAAATCAGGGAGGCAGGATGGCGACCAAACTATCCTGTTTCAGCTGAATAGAAGAGTTAACCGTGGCTTGGGCCACTGCAGCCTCCAGACAAACACTCAGGATCCCAGTTTTGGGATGGAGTCTTAGGCCTATTTTGCTCACTTCCCTCTTTTGGTGTTTCAGCTGGACATGTCAGCCTCTGCCATTTGCCTGGGGCTTAGGGGATAACTTTATGACCACATTCCTTCTCTTTCCAGGTGCACATCTTCGAGGATGCCCAGTGGAAGTTCCTGATCTGGCCTTCTGCAGTGTCACGCTCCGTGTATTTGACAAGCTGAGTTGGACACTCTGTGTGGTAGAGTGTCAGTTTGTCAAATACCCCAAGTGTGGCTCATGCCTGTCAGCTCCAGGCCCAGGACAGAAGAACAGCTAGCCTGCTGGCTATATATGAATGTTTATGAAACACCAAGCTCTCTCATGTTACTCTATGGTTTTTGAGGGAACTATAACATTTTGTCAGGGGACATAGGGGTAAGAATGATGCAGCTCTGGGGCCCAAAAATCTGGGATATATCTATCTACTTACCTTGTGAGAATTCCATGGAATGCACCATGGTATTGAAAATACATAAGTGATACCAGGAAGAAGTGCTATTTGATTTATTATTAATGTCTTCTTTTACATTGCTCTTCTTGCATCCTGAACACCAGAATTTTCATGCAAGTATCATGACTTTTATAAGAAAGTAGGACATAGAAATCCACTTTCTTGCCCTTGGAGCACATCTTGACCTTACCTACAGTTTATCTTTTTCTCTTTGCTTTTCTCCTTCTTAAACCACTCTTCTCGTTTCTCTTTGCACACCCAATTCTTCCATGTACTTTCAGACCATGCCAAATTCCAATCTCTCTGGGCAGTTTTGAAAGTCCACCTAGATTTTTTCTTTACTCCTTGACTAGATATAGGTATGTGCTTTTACATTTCCTGCCACCCAATATATCCTCATAAATTGTCAGTGAATTGTTGCCGGGTATATTCTTGAATTCCCCATTACATTGTAAGAGTCTAGAGCATATTATATTTACTTGATTGCTGTCTTTCCTACCATTGTCCAACATTTTAATTTATTTAATAAAAGTTAACCAATTAATTGATGTCCTACTTGTCCATTGCCTTTGGGTATGTGGGTCAAATATCACCCAGGGTTTTGTGGGAAAAAAAAATCAAGCTGTGGGTATTCAAATGTTATAGTGTATACAAGTAGTAACCAAATGGGATTTTTTTCTGAGAAATAGGACTTAGGGCTGGAGAAATAGGATAAGGAAAAAATAGGCTCAGAGGGCAAATAAATTTTGGAATTATTTGCTTACATGGAACTTTTTAACAGAATTTTCTGAGCCTTTAATAATCTAATGCTGCCCTGAGTGAACTTCTAATACAGAACTATAGAAATGGATTTCTAATATCTATCTCCAGAGTCTAACATTTCATTATTTTATACATACATATATATATGTATATATACATATATATATATTTACATTTCATGATATATTGGCAATCTTCTCTAGAGAAATCCCATACTTTCCCTCTGTTCTGGAGATACCTACTTTCACTCTAACTTTCCACTTACCAGCCAGCCACCTAAATGAAAAGACCTGTCTTGTCACCCCACTTTTGCTTAGAAGAGCCTAAAGGCTGCCCATTCTATATAGGAATGACTCACTGGTTTATCCCACATGGAAAAACATCTTAGTTTAGGGGCAAAGAGCATCTTCAGAAGATGTCTACAGCAATGTATGCACACTGCTAAAAAATCCATAGGTCTCAATTTCAGTCTCTGTCCTGCCCTTGGCTTGATGCATGTCACTCTGGACAAGTCATCGTTTCTCTCTGGCTCTCATTTCCCAATTTGTGATATGTGAATGCTCAGATCAGTAATCTTTAAGCTTTTTTCAGATGAAAGACTAGGAGACATCCCTGGTGGTTCCTGTGTAGGGGCTTCCCTGAATTTGTTATTAATTTTACTAGGGCAATTTCAATAAAAATTCTCTCCTGAAGCCCAATGGTTCTTGTTTGAGCAGAATAAGATAAATGAGTGTTTTCAAAGGCTTGGGGGGCTGGACTCAGAGCTGTTTCATGGAGGAAGCTGAGGTTTCTACTGGGTGGGGCCCCTGTTTTGGAGGCTTGTAAGTGAAATGCAGAAGAAGAAGTTGTCCTTCTCACCAATTATGTGTAGCTAGCATTCAGCAAAGAGGAAAATGCTGAGGTTTTAATCATTGACTTGGTAGCTTCAGTGGGGGTGAAATGGGGAGGACTCTTACTTGTTCTTTTTGTGCACTATTTTGACTTTTGTAATCATCTCAAAGTGGGAGCAGCTCTTGTTGAAACCTGATCTGATCCCGTGCTTATGCAGAAAACATAGGCAATGTAGTAATTCTCATGAATAGCAAGGAAGTCGATTGGGCATGAAATACATGGTGGGAAGGAAACAGTGCAAACTTGGCCCCAAACAATTTCTTTACAAGGGAGTTTGAGTCAAAGGTACACCTTCCTCTCCCCCTCTCTTCCCCTCCCCTCCTCTCCCTTCCCTTCTCTTTCTAAAAAACAAACAAACAAACAAACAAACAAACAAACAAAAAAGAATCTGTTACTCTTTACCCTTTCCACATTGTTAGAAGAGTTCAGGAGTTAGAGAAGATGACCAATGAATATTGTAACTAACCTAAAGATTTTACTGGTACTACACACATGCTTTGAAAAGAAGGGAACTACTTCATATCTACATCCATAGTTCTGTGACAAAGAAGTGGGGCTTCTTGCCAAACTTCCTGTTGCCCTGAAAAGAGTCATCAAGCAGAGCTGAAAGAAAGATGGAGTTGGGGATGGATGTTATGTAGAATACTGTTTAAAAAAAAGATTGATTTGCTTTAGATAGGACTATCCATGGTGTGAGAAGGGAAATGGCATGAGTTCGGAGGTGAAAGACCAGGTAACCAAGAAACAACTGGCAGTAACAAAAGGCAAAGGTATAGCTCAGCAGCCCTCTAATTCCAGCTACGTGGAAGTCTTAGGCAGCTGGCAAATTCAAAGCCTAGAGAGGGAAATAAAGGCAACCCTGGGCAAGTTAATGAGAGCTCATATAAATAAAAAGTAAAAAGAGTACAAGAATATAGCTCAGTGGTAGAGGACTTGGTTAACTCAGGTTAAATTTCTTGTAAAACACACACACACACACACACCACACACACACACACACACACACACACACACACACACACACACTTTCTTTAAAACATATACACACAGAGCAGAAAAGTGTATGATCTATATTTCTAGGGGTGCTTACCATCTTATTTTGTCTCATTTTATGTAGGTTTTATTGTGTCTCGAGAGAAGACAAACACAACTGAAGTTGCTGTCATGATTAAATATTTATTAACATCAAAAAGAATACAAGGGCATTAGATTCTCAGTGTAGGAACAGATCTGTACCTTGGCCTGTGATTTGGCAAGATTAATCAAAAGTCCTCTGGCTCTAGAGAAAGGGATGTAATCATGGACACAGATGGTTGCCTGAGTTGGTAGGACTGAGCCTCGTCTGATTTTTCTGGTGATGCCTTAAGGCATAAAGAAGAACCTCTAGTGCTGTGGGAATTTTTCTGGTGTTTGCAGAGGAGTTGTAGAGGCCCCAGGCAGAACATAGAAGGGTCCAGGGCCAAATCCAGAAGCTAGCTTTCTTGAGGTGCGTATGGTAAATTCTTAGCCAAACCAAGATTTCCTTCCCAGTGGCCTCAACATTGGCAGAGTTGATACTTTAGGTTGTGTAGGAAGAAAGGAAGCAAGTAAGAAAGCTATGCTAAGGGCAAGAACTGAGTAAGTCAGTAGACCTTGACTTAGAGGGGCATTTTAGCAGATGTTGTTGTCTTCAGTAGCAAGAACTTCATAGTTTCTGGGAGCTGTGTGAAACAGGTATGAATAATCATTGTTGATCTGGGTGATTATTTGGTACTCTTGGCCCAGGCAAGGCTCATCAGAATAGTCATTGATCAGAGCATGAGAATCTGGTTCATCACTGAAGTGTCCACTTGAGAAGGTAGTCACCCTTGTGGTTTCTTCAGAGTTGCTTGTCTCCCTGGCACACACCCTATGGACCAAGATCCAATTACTCAAGAGAAAGCTTTGGGCTCAGATCCTGCTTTCTAGCATCCTGCCTCCCAAGTTCTTATCCACTGACTCCTAGGATCATGTCAGATAGAGATTGTGAGGACAGAAAGTTGGTATACCTAAATCATCTTGTGCATTCATGGATACAGGATACAACATGAGAACATTCATCTGAGGGGATAAAGTATTTTCTGACCCTGAAGGACTCTTTTAGGACTAGTCTCCAGGTTTTTTGCCAATGATCAACAGAATTTAGGGCATGGAATGGTTAATAAATTAGAAAAGGAGAGGTTATCTTACCTGGTCACTTCATAGACGTGCTCTAGAAAGTAAGGAAGAAGTAGGTTAGAAATTTATATGTAGAGTAGACAAGGGTCAAGCATGAAACCACAGTACCAGTCCAAAAATGGGGGAAGGAAACAGAAGAGAATTCAAGGTACCAGCTTTCTAATATTGAGAGATATTGTTATGAGTTGATATCCAGGGACATAGATTTGTCAGAGAAGTGGAAGGTACACATCCCCTTTGCCATTTCTGACTTAGAACATCAGGCTGAAGATATTGCCTAGTGGGGTTAAAGGGAGAACACGCCAGACTGTTCTTCATTTAGGATTCTCATCAAAGAGTCTCAGAAAATTCTGTGGGGAACTTGATTGCCCAGCTACAGCCCAGGAAAAATGCACTGAATTTGGTTCCATGTCAGAGACCATAACCCAATTCATTTTCAAGTGTGCTGATGTTGATATTACTCAAGGGCTCAGTTGTTACATAACCTCTTTCACCGTGTGTGTGTGTGTGTGTGTGTGTGTGTGTGTGTGTGTGTGTGTGTGATTTATATCATATATTGGAAAAGTTGGTATTTCATTTAATTAATGAAATATGTAATTACTGAAAACTCTAAAACTAAAAGGGACCCAACTAGATAGTCATTGCCTCCTAGTGTCTGTGGAGGAGAACTGTTCTCTATTGCAGAGGATTAAATTGGCACAAAGATGGGTATTTCTTGATACAGCTCTCTTCCCTCTAGGTGCTTATGCTAGTTCAGGGTAGCAACTGGAAATTCATGTATTAAATTATAAGAAAGATAACAATGCAAAATATGGGAGTTCTGTTTTGTAGAGACTCACATTTCCATGCTTTATTTCCCCCAACTGGACTGGACTGGGAGCTTCTGTACTTCCAAGTCCGTTTTTTTATTTATATACGCAGTATCTGGAATACAAACTATGCTCACTAGCTACAGACTAAATTGAATTACTACTCTGAAGCTGTCTCTCTTAAAGAGAAACAGAAAGCAGGAATTCTGGGAAGGCAAACTAAGAAGGGTAAAAAAATAAAACACAAAGACACATTGTGTAAGCATGTTTGTGCTTGTTTGAATTCAGTGACCAGAAATAAGTATAAGTAAAAGTGACTACTGGATGGGAAGAAAATAGGGCTAGACCCACATCATAGAGGGTCTTATTCCCTTGAGCTACGAGGAACTATGAAATATTTGGGGATATTTTAAGAGGCAAATAATATGTAGTTACTCTCTTAACCTTAATAAGACTATGGTGTAGCTAGAATTTTCCTGCCTTGCCCACAGTCAGGACAAATCTCTCTCACCCGCCAGTCCCACAGCCGCTCAGACACAACCAAGTAAACACAGAGACTTATACTGCTTACAAACTGTATGGCCGTGGTAGGCTTCTTGCTAACTGTTCTTATAGCTTAAATTAATCCATTTCCACAAATCTATAGCCTGCCACATGGCTCGTGGTTTACCGGCATCTTTTCATGCTGCTTGTCAGGGTGGCGGCCGGCAGTGACTCCTTCTGTCTTTCTGTTCTTTTATTTCTCCTCTCTGTTAGTCCTGCCTATACTTCCTGCCTAGCCATGTGCCAATCAGTGTTTTATTTATTGACCAATCAGAGCAACTTGACATACAGACCATCCCACAGCACAGCCAAGTGCAGACCATCTCAGACACCTGCACTCAGCCCATGGTCCTAATCATCCTCTATGTGGACCTGCTGGGTAAAGCCACGAGGAACCCAAGAATGGGCTCCCACAGGACATACAGAACATCCCACAGCACTATGGTGAATGGTTTCCTTCAAATGGAGCTAGTAATTTTAGCCATTTGTGGAATTTCCACTCCTCAGATCATCCTGATGGATCACAGTCATGGTAACTGGCCAACATCATAGGTTCTACTTGAGACCCTGGGAAAGGAGATAGACAAGGCGCACTTCTATTTGATTAAAGTGATCCACAGCTGAAAAGGTGTTTATGAGTGGAAGATGCTACAGAAAAGTAGACAAGATAATTCTAGGCAAAATGACTAGTGCAGGGGTACTGAATTATAACTTTTTCTTAGAAACAAACAATTCAATGGCCCTCAACTTTGGGTTTTCCATACTCATTAAATAGCTCTGACAATGCTGTCTTCATCATACTATTTCCCTGATCAAAACAACTGGGTTAATCTTAGGGCCATGGCAAGGCCTAGTAAAGAAATTCTTTAGGCTGGAATTCAAAACCTGTTATGATTAGAAAGGAACCTTGATTCTCCCCTCTATTTCACTATCGCTTAACTAAATGAATTTCCCTTTGTGATGATCCACATGCATTTGAAGTTTAGGCCTTTATACTTCTGCTGACTTGTTTTCACATTCCTGGAGTACTGTCCCTTCAAATGAAGATTCAGTATGACCTAGTTCCAGTTATACCTTTTGAAAGGCTTTGTTGATTATTATTCCAGCTCTGACTCTCTTCTCCACTATTTGTTCAATATCACCTTCTCTACATTTTGAATCATTAATCTGCCTGCAAGGTATGCTATTGATAAATTCTATGCTTCAACTTTGAAATCCTCACATAAATTGCAAGCAACTTGAGGGCAGCTTCTCTGCCATTCTTATAAGATGATTCATTACAAAGATAGCTGTACTTGGCTGGGTACCCTGGATTTTTATATGCTGTGTCATGAGTCTTACATCATTATTTGCAAAGACAATGAATATCTGTCCCTTTTTATTTCTACCATTACTCTAAAACTAGTCTTCAAGATCGTTGGAATGTTAGGCATACTACCTCACATAGAATGTAGATAAATATACCGTTAGAAAGAATGAATGAACAGAAGCCAACCGTCCCTACTTATCACTCACCTTGTTGGAATTTCCTGCGGCGGAACATGATATAAGCTATGGTGATAACCACTGCACAGCCAAGTGACATGATGAAGATGATGGCAATTGGCAGGCCCCTTCCTAAAAGACAAAATAAGACTAAGTGGTATTTGGTTAAAGAAGAGGTCAGTCAAAGGCCTTACCTATTGTTGGACCTTGTGCATAACAAAACATATCAGGCAAGATGTGCCTGTGGTGTGATAGTAGCAAGACCAGTGAAGGATAACTAAGAGGTTTCTGATTGGAACTGAGGACTGCTCCACAGGAGGGAATATCATGCCTGGCACTGTAATCCTGGTCAAAAGTCCATGTCTGGGGTGGGGTGGGGAGGTGTATCATGGGCTCTAGAGTAGAACTTGCTTTTTAAATTTTTGTAAATATTCCATTTGCTACCTGAACATTACACCCATAAACTTAGGCTTCTCTCAGTATTGGACTAAGAAGCTTATTTTGCATTTGATAGCAAACAATGCAGAGATGCATAACTGGTGAAAGTGCCGAGAAGAGACTAAGTGCTCATTTCTAGTTTTATTTTCTGTGCATTGGTGTTTTGCCTGCACTCATATCTGTGTGATGGTGTCAGATGCCCTGGAACTGGAGTAAGAGACAGTTGTGGAGCTGCCATGTAGATGCTGGGAATTGAATCTGGGACCTCTGGAAGAGCAGCCAGTGCTCTTAACATTGAGCCATCTCTCCAGCCCAAGTGCTCATTTCTAAACAGCACATTTTTATCACACACACACACCTACACACATGGGGGTGTGCTCAAAGAACATCATGAAAGAGATTAAGAGCCAGACAATGAGGAAACATGCTGGGAAGTATTGTTTTCTGAGCATGACAGGGCTATTGCATTCATGAATTTATAGTAGTATAGAACCTAGGGTTATCTGCGAAGACTGATGTAAGATCAAGCCAACATCCGCATAGATAGTACATGTGTTCTTCAGGCCCTACTCCTTACTGAAGATAGCTTCTGGAGGAGGAGACTCATTCTCTTTTCAGTATGTTCCCACCGAGGGCTTTCCCATATTCCAGTGGATGGACCCAAACTCATGCACATCTAGGTGGTACTGATCAGATTTAGTGGGTTATCTACAATGAAGACATGAAGTTAGCAGGGGTCAGTTTGCAGAGTATATGGTTGGAGCTGGAAGAGAGAAATGAGAGGTGGGTATGATTGTATTTCATTTTATACATGTATAAAATTCTCCAGAATCAAGAAGTTATAATAAAAGTGTTGAATGTTTATATAACATTCCTTTAAAAAGACAAGATTGGGTGGGAATGATGTTGTGTACTTTTAATCCTGGCATTTGGGAGGCAGAGGCAGGCAGATCTTTGTGAGTCTGGGGTCAGTCTGTTATATATACCTGGCTCCTGGATGGCCAGTGCTACATTTGTCAATAATGCAACATTGCTTATCCAAGAATTATTAGTAATGATCCAAATGGGAAGTTTTTTAGTTAACATTCAAGAATAAAATAAATAAATTCGTTGTTAAACACACACACACATATACACATATATACTTACTAACCAATTATCTAGAAATGGAAATATATTTGCATATACCATACATGTATATATTCATATGAAACCACCACTGACTCTGACAAACATACTGAGTAAAAGAAACCAGCTACAAAAATACATTATTTTATTCCTTTATAAGAGTATAAAATAGCTTAAAATAATACATGGCAATAGTGATTAGGAAAATAAATCATTTGGTGGGGATTAGACAACAGGTAATGTGGTTGTGAAGCATGCCATTTTTTAAAATTTTTAAATATTAATTTACCTATACATTATTCATATACTATGCTTCAGTAAAAAGTTTGCTAAATTTTTAAAAAGCAGACAAACAAAAATCAGCCTTGGGAAAAAAGATCAAATCAGAAACTCTAAGTATCAGCCTAGAGCATCTTGCCATTCTGAGCTAGCCAGAGAGACAAACAAAATCCCACATTCTTCAGAAAATCTTGATAAATGTCAGAGATACAATGTCAAAACCAATTCTCTAAGTCCCACTGGTTGATTGCTTTTTTGGCCACAGCCAGATTTCCATTCTTTCCATGGGGCCAAGATAGGAGGCTTTCATTTTGCCTTAAGAAAAAGAAAGTGGTGTTGTGACTCATCAGCTTTTCAGAAATGCTATATTCATGAGATTCTGGCAAGTTATGTTAAGCCATAAAGACTCTCTTCACTATAGTATTCTTTGCTCAAGTTCCCTGCTTCTTTTTTTCTCAAAACAATTTCCACTCAGACATCTAGGGTACTTTGAGAGTTAATACTGTCAACTTGAAAAGATCTAGATGCTTCTAGGAGACAAGCCTCTGGGCATTGCCTTAACTGTGGGCATCATTCTTCTATGGGTTGGCATCATGGATAGAATAAACAAGAGCATTCTCTGCTTTCTGGTTGTAGATCTGGTGTGATTATCAGCCATGACTTCCTTGTCATGCTAGACCATCCCCTTGAGCTGTGAGCCCGAAGAAAGCCTTCTTTTCTTAAGTTGCCTTTGTCAGGTGTTTCATTGCAGAAATGAGGTTAAGTAACTAATGCAGGCACTAATATGGTTGAAGGAATATAGTGTACAAAGATTCCAGTCTGAAGTCTTATTTACTTATTGTGTGGCCATATAGGCCAGATAATTGGCCTTCCTCCAAAGATGTTTGCATTCAGATTCCTAGAATTATATGTAATCCAAAGAAGAATAAAGGTTAAAGGCATAATTAAGGCTGATAGTTATCTGCAGCTAAAATAGGGAAATTATCATTAATGTTACTGATGGGCTCAATATAATCCTAGGGACTGATTTAATGGTGAAGGTAGGAGATATGAGAGAAGGTAAGAGTCAGAGAGAGATCTGAACGTATTACATTTCCAATTTATAGATGAAATAGATGAAAGAAGTCATGAGCTAAGGAATGTAGTAGCTTCTACAGAGTGGGAAGTATCAGGTAATGGATTCTTTCACAAAGCTTCCAGAAGGACTGTAACACTATTGTCACCTGATTTTACTACACTAATAATTATGTCAGACTTTTGATAAACGTAAGTAGGAGGTAACATATTTATGTAATTTTAATATAGAAAATTTGAGGTACATTTTTATATCAGTCACAGAAAAGTTAATATGGTGAAGCTAGTCAAATTATTAACTGTTGCTGGTCTTTAGTGTTCTCATAACTTCAATGACACATTTGAGTGATATTCAATGCCCTTCTTTTATTTACTTTCATTTCATGATAATCAGCACTCAGAATAACATATTCATCATACTTTGTTTGGATCGATTTTTCTCTCCACCACTGCATCCTGCCTTCTTGCCACTTGTAGCCTGTCCCAGTGGTGACCGTTTCATGTCACATGTGTTGTACTTCCCTCCTCACCTCCTTCCTTAAAACTAGTTCTGTTTGTTTGTTTGTTTTGGAGGGATGGTTAGGCAGATGGGTTAGTGGTTAACATATTTTGTGTATAAGCAAAACCAGAGTTCACATCCCATTACCCACATAAAAATCAGACATATCCACGAGAATCAGTAGCCACAGTGTTCAGGGACAGAGACAAGTGAATTCTCTGTTCTAGTGGGCCAGCTAGTCTAGCCAAGGTAGTGAGCTCTAGGAGAGTGAGAGACTCTGTCTCAAAAAAATAAGGGGGTGGGCTGGAGAGATGGCTCAGCAGTTAAGAGCACTGGCTGCTCTTCCAGAGGACCTGGGTTCAATTCCCAGCACCCACATGGCAGCTGACAACTGTCTGTAACTCCTGTTCCAGAGGGTCTGACACCCTCATACACACATACATGTGAGCAAAACATCTATATCCATAAAATACAAATAAATAAATTATAAAAAAATAAGGTAGAGAACAATAGAAGAAGCATCTAAAGAAGAGCTCTGGTCTCCACATGAGCAGACACAGGCAAGCATGTGCACACACATGTACGTTATACCAAACACACACACACACACACACACACACACACACACACACACACTCACACAATATTGCGTTTTCCTTCTCATTAGCCTTTTTTAGTTTCATGGCTTATCCCTTACTCATTCTTACAAAAATACACATGCATAAATATTAGGATCTCGAATTGACATATAAGAAAAAACATTTAACATTTATGTTATTGAACCTAGGTTACTCCAGTTAACATATTTTCCAGTTCCATACATTTTCTTGACATTTCATGTTTTTCTTTATGATTAAAAAAATTCCTTTGTCATATATAATGTGTTTTCCTTGTCCATTCATCTGTTGGTGGCTATTTAGGCTGGGTTTATTTCCTGTTGTGAACAGAACAGCAGTAAACATGGATGTGCAAATATGTCCATGGTAGGATATAAAGTCTTGGTATATGCCCAGAAGTGTGAATGGGATATTTTTTCTCATTTTGTGTTCAGCAAGTTCATTGTTGTATATGTGAAAATATTGATTTTATATGGGCATTATGTATCCTGAAACTTTATTATGAACACTGTATTTAATAAAAGTGAAGGTGATACACACCTTTATCTCATTTCATATTTTAGAATGCTCTAAGTTTTTCAACTTAGTATAGTGTTGGCTTCAGACTTTTCATAGGTAGCATTTAATTGTATTGAGGTATGTCCCTTAGATTCCTCCTTTCTTCTGAACCTTTATTAAGAAGCTGTGTTGAACTTTATAAAATGCCTTCTCTGTATCTATAGAGCTAATCAGGTTATGTTGATAATTATACTTGGCAGTGCTGCTGTCCACATGGAATTGACTTTGGAGGAATGAAGGATGCAAAATTTAGTGGGTCCTGAATTCTTCCCCCGTGGTTTCAAATAACCTCTAGGTCAAAGTGTGGCAAGAAAGTTCATCCATGAAGGTTCTGAGAGGTCAAGTGCTGCACCCCACAAGAATATATCATAAGAACTCAGCTGGTTATGGCAAAGTCACTACCTGGAGGAATCAGGGAATTCCTCCAGAGGAAGCCAAATCCCAAAGTGATTTTGGTGTTACTTGGCTTGTTATATATCTGCTGTATTCTGCTATGAAATTCATGTGTGCCTTCATAGTTTTCCCAACTGACTTTTCCCTAGGAAGGGTTAACAGTGTGGACTGATCACTCTCTGGGCATACACATTCCAGGTATTTGGAGAACAGCCGCGGGAAAGGCTTTCTCTGGAATCAGATATCTCCCTTAGCCACTTTCAAGGACTACAAGAAATACCACCCAGGTGGGAGCCCAACTTCTGAGGACTAACAATGATAGCAGCCCACATGCAAGTCTCCTGACTTAAGATAAATTCCACAAGGAGACACTGCCTAGGAGAGGTGGACATTAAGCAATAGCTTTACACAATTTATCTCGGACCCTCCCTTTATATACCGGGACTTCCAGGGCACAGGACGGAGAAGAGAAAAGAGAATGGATGAACTAAATTGGTAAGAACTTGAGAGGAACAAACTGAGATGGGCAAGAACTAGATTGAAGGGCTAGAAGAGAGGACGAGAGGAACAAGATGGAAGATGAGGAAGAGCCAGATGGGGAAGAACAAGATGAGGAAGACCCAGATGAGAGAAGGAGATGGGAGAGGAGCTGATAGGGGAAAGAACTAGATAGATGAGAACCTAGAAGGGACAGAACTGAATGAAGGAATTAAGATAGAACCTAGAGGGGAGAGTAGATAAATATATAGAGAAATCAGGCAAGAAAGGAGCTAGACATGAGAGCAGAATAGAAGCTGTGTAGAGAGAGAACTATCACAGAATAATAAAGTGTATGAACTAAGGAGTTTTGTGTACATAGATTCATTTCTTTTCATCAAAGATTAATTATCAGGCGGTTGTAGTTTCTCCCCAGAAACTGGGAGGGGACTATCGAGGGGCTGCACCCCCATAGTCCCCTATAGTCAAGAAGCCCTGAATGGTCACTGTACAAAGGGAGTGCAAACAGCCTGACAGGGAATGGTGTTGTGGGCAGCAAAATCAGAGGGGTAGAGCCATACAAGCCCTCTGACATCAGACATGGAGCTATGGAGGTATTGGATGTTGGAATTTGTCCTTCTGGATTTCCATCTTCCATCGGTCTAGTATTTCCTTACTATGCCCCATTTGTTACTTTTAGAATGGGAATGAATATTATGTGCTATTGTATGTTAGATATAATTACTTTTTTTACAGTGTGTTACAACTAAGAAATTGCCTTGATTGTAATGCTCCTGATGGGCTCAATGTAATCATAAGGATCAATTTAATCTGAAGAGACTTTGGATTTTAAATATTATTCTGACTGTGCAAGACTATGGGGAATCTGGAAGTTGAACTAAATGAATTTTGCTTGATGATGTGGGCATTAAGGCTAGGGAGTAGAACGTGGTAGATTGAGTGAGGTGTCCCCCATGAGTGTTGAGATTTAGAATACTTGGTCCCTAGTTGGTTGCTGTTTGAGGAGTATTATTAGAGTAGAGGAAGTATGTTGGTGGGGGTGCACTTTGAGGTTTCAAAAGCCATGTGCTACCTCCAGTTTGTTCTCTTGGCTTTTTGTTAGTGGTTGGACTTATGTGCGTTCAACTGTCTGATGCCTGCCACCTGCTTTCATCCACCATCAAGGACTGTAGCTCTTTAAATCTGTAATCTCAGTATACCCTTCCTTCTGTAAGTTACGTTGGTCATGGTGTCTCATCATAGAATAGAAAAATAGCGAATACACACTTCAAGGATCTAGGGAGAAAAGAGGTCATTCCCAAACCCAGTACATAACAAGTCATAATAAAGATTAGGGATTGAAATAAATAAAACACACATTGAAAGAATAATACATGATATTAAACAAATAGTTGGTTATTTCAATAGATCAAGATGAAAAAACTCCATAGCTAAAATAATCAAAAGAAAGAGAAAGAAGCCTCAAATTAGTGAAATTAAAGATGAAAAGGGCTTTGTTAGACTTCAATGAAATTAGGATTATTAGAAAACACTATAAAAATTATAAAGAACTTGGAAAACTGTAAGAAATAGATTAGTTTCTAAACACATATGCCTTATTGTACTAGTTCCTTTTCTGCTGCTGTGAGAAAACACCACAACCAAAGGCAGCTTAAAGAACAAAGAATTTATGGTTCCAGATGAATAAGAGTCTGTCATGGCAGGGAGGCACGGCAGCAAGCATGGGCTTGGCAGCAGAAGTGGGAAGCTGAGAGCTCAATCACATTCTTCAACATCAAACACAATGCAGAGAAAAGAATCTGGAACTGGGGTGAGGCTATAAATGCTCAAAGGGCAACCCCAGTGATGTACTTTCTTGATGAGGGCCATGCCATGCTAAATAGTACCACCAACTGGAGACCAAAAACTCAGTGAACCTATAGGGGACGTTGACATTCAATCCATTACATTCCACTCTGTGACCCTGAGAGGTTTATCATCACATCATAATACAAAATGCACTTAGTCAAACTTTAAAAGTCCTCACAATCTGTGACAGTCTCAAAACTATTTAAAAGTCCAATGTCTCTTCTGAGATCCAAATAAATGTCTTATCTATAGCCTCCTGTAACATCAAAAAGCAGATCACATATTTCCAACATAAAAATGGCACAGAATACACATTACCATTCCAAAAGGCAGAAATGGGGGGTTAGTAAGTAAATAATGGAATGACGAGAGTCTAAAATCTAGCAGGGCAGACATCAAATCATGTAGCCTCCTTTCTGGTGACACAGGGGTTATATGACTCTGTACTGCTGCTTTGCTGCCTGCAACAGGCATTTCTTTCTTGGGCTGCTACCACTCCCTATCTGCAGTTCTTCTTGGTAGATGTTTCATGACTCTAGCATCATCAGCATCTTGAGATATCCAACACAATTCAGGCTTCATTTTTTCACAGCCTGAACATTATACAATGTGCTCTAGGGCATCTTGCCTTCTCAGCCTGTTCATATAGGGACTGCCCTGTCACCCATTTTGGGTTTCTGTGGCTCCTATTCTCAATCAATTCTAAGATATACATTTGCTGATGATACCAATCTCAGTTGACAATGATTATTTTCAAAGCTTAAAATATGTCATTCTTTGTTTTCCTGGACTTTATTGTTGCTGATAAGAGATCTGGTGTTATGAGGACATTCATGCTTCTGCTTCTGAGTTGCCATTTTCCCAGTAAAAGTTTTAGTTAGTACTTTATTTGGATGTATAATTCTTTCTCTTGGTTTGGAAAATTCTTGGCTATAATTTCATTGAATATATTGTCTAATCATTTTGACTTGATCTCTGCTCCTTTTTCTACATATGGACTATTAGGTTTAGTCTCCTGAATGTATCCATGACTTCTCAAACATTTTAGTTGTGTTCGTTAATGTTTTCTGTATGTATTTCCTTATGTATTATTTTCTTTACCTTGTCACTCACCCTTGAAATTCATTCTTCTGCCTGATCTTATTTGTTCATGATGATTTCTGCTGTGCTTTTTATTTTATTTCTTATTAGAGCATTTATCTAGCATGTTTGAGACCACTGGTTCAATCCTCAGTAACATATGCCTTCAATGATACAACGCCAGAGTGTGACACAATGAGTAATAGTTATCGAACTATTTCACACTGAATAATCAAAACAGATACTTGATGAGTACCTGGAGTATACATGTTCTGTGGTTTATCTGGAATTAAAAACTGCTTGCACGACCATGAAATAATCTGCAGAGTTTTGATTGATGGTCTATAGAAGCACAAGTAAAAATAAGAATCTTTTTGTTTAAGAGTAGCAGCTAAAAATTAATGTAAATAAAGCTCATTATTTTAAGAATCAATTTTGGCATATTAGTGCATATTAGCTGACTAGAAGCTTGTGATGAAATAATACAGAGTATTTTTTTCTTTGAGATTTTAATCCCTGAGATCCTGATTTGGGGATCTGTGAGACATTTGGGGAATAAAAATTAGGTGTGAACTGCTACAAAAGCTTTTGTCAAGAATTCAAGTAGTGGAGGACTGCTTGGATCTTCAGCTATTCCGTTTCCTGTCTCCTTAGGATAGAAGGCTGAGTTCATGGTCTTAATCCTACTTTTTTTTTTCAGTGTTTGAGAAGTATGTTGCTATAGCAATAGAAAACAAACTAAGAACACATTTACCACTTTCTTTAATCACAATCTGACTTTTTTATTTTTGTATCTTTATCTTCCCCTTTCTATCTTACCTACCCAGTTTAGCTTCTGGACTCTTCCTTAAGTGTGGAGTTGAATTCTGCATAGAGAACTTACAAGGAGTCACAAAGTTCAGAGTCAAACAAGAATGATAGAATTCCTAATGTTACTCCTACCTGGGTCAGCAATGGCCTTCTCATGGTTTTCATTCTCTGGGCCAGCAGTGGTCCCATCATGTTTTCCATTCACTGGGCCAGCAACAGACTCTTTAAGTTTTCCATTCCCCTTAGTGGTCCAGTCAAAGTTTGATTTCACTGTACTTGTTGCTGTGAGAACAGAGAATCCAGGTCAGAGATCTCTCTTTCACTGAAGAGAGGTGAGCATCAGGGACGACAGAAAAGGATTGATGTTTTTGCTGGAGATCTCTTCTGGGCTTCCAGGGTGTCTAGTCATTGTTGTTTTTCTGTTGGCTCAGTGGCTACACCTGAATCCACTGATAATGTAACTACTTTCTGCAATTGTGCTGCCACATAGTCAGCACTCCTGTGTTCAGAGCATGAGTGCCTTGGCCGGATTTCTGATCCTGCCTGCATTGGCTCTGTTACTGCTACCAAATACAGTTTTTAACTAAGTGTCTATTATTCTGTCTACCAATAAAGATTTGGGAGTCAGATTTGGGAGTCAAGCATTTTGACTTGATCTCTGCTCCTTCCTCTACATATGGACTATTAGGTTTTGTCTCTTGAATGTATCCATGACTTCTCAAACATTTTGAGAAAACCTGTTAGCTCAGAGGGCTGAGAAGCAACCAGCTGACCTTCCTTTTGCTTGGAGACCCAGTAAGAGAACATCTCCCCATTTGTCCCTAACTAAAAAAGACCATGAATCTCTAAGTCCCTCCCTACTCCTTCCTCTGCATCTCTCTCTCTGTCTTCTTGGGACCTCTGTACTCTCTATGCCTAATTGTTGTCAACTAGTAACTGGCTTTGCTCCCTGATCCAAGGTTGATTTTATTAACACAGTCTAGGGGATTCACAACACAACCAAATATCCTGCAACAAGCTATATCATTGGTCTATATTGTACTATGACGTGAAATATCTGTTTGTTTATTTTTTTATATGGGGTTGCCAGTGGAAACAAGATATACAAAGAAGAAGTAGTCTCAAAGTCACATAGTAAATCAGGTTAGGAAATATGTAACATAATGCATTCTTCTTGCTTCTTTTCACAAAGAAAATTGTATACTCATGATTCACATTCTCCACTACCCTTTGGCACGTTTCTTTTGTATTCATTCATATACTGCCATGAAATCTCTGAGAAATACAGTGGTCTCTTTGCCCAAAGTTAATGGAATTGCATATCCTTGGTTTGCAAACATTTTTTAAGAATTCTGTAACAAAGCACTAGTAAAACTTACCTTCCAAAGCGGACTGCATGGTTGTAGGTGCTTCAGTATTGATTATACGTGGATTAGAGGAGTCTGCAAGGATAAAAGGAACCTGGTTTAGGAATCTGATACCCTTAGATAAACAATTGAAGATACTAGTAAAATTAGGACATAGGTCGGAACTCTTAAGCCTTCCCTCATGATGCTGGCAACTTCTATTGCATGTTCATTATTCCTCACACACCATTCTAAGGTACAGTTCATAATTCAAGGTTCAAAGACTTTCAATGAATCTGTATCTAGAGTTTAGGGGGTCTCAAAACCTGGTTGAGGAAATGTGTATTAATAATCACTAACTTTTAACTGAAATATAATGATTTGTTCCTGAGAAAGATTTCAGAAGTATAACAAAGAAGGTGTTAGTCGTTGACTTCAATGAAAATGGTCAAGTAATGTCTACTAAAAATTTACCCCCTCACAGAAATAAAGGCATAGCTGAAATATTTTGATATTATAATTTCTCCCAGAATTTCAGAAATTGGTTCATAGGAACTTACAGTGTTTATGGAAGAAAAACAGCCCAGTTTTAGTAATAACATGAAGCTCTTTGGCATTTCAACTTAGAGTTAATAAAAATTAATACCTTATTCCAGGTGCAAGAGAAATCATCTCATTCCTTTCAAGAAATATTACCTTTATTTGACCTATCTAATGATTTCTTGAAAAATGTGACTTCAAATACTTGTTTTATTTAGCATCTGTACTAAAAGTCTCTCTCCACAGCTAGGAGGAAATTTGTCACACAATTTGGGGAAAGAAGAGAGTAACCAATAATTTTAAAAGGAAATGCTCACAAATTAGATATCTCCAGGAAGTGTGAAAAGTTTGACAACTCCTCAGAGTCAAGGATGCCATATCCTTTCTTAAAGTCTTGTGTATATTCAGAAAAAAATATAAGAAAGGCATAAGTTCATGCTTATGGTAAGCCCTTGAGGTTTCATATTAACCTAAAATAAATATTGTTCCATAATTGTAAACTGGATGCATATTGATGTCATTGCTAAACAAGCAACATAGTTCTCTGGTCAATAATACATGATTCATTTCCCCTGACAGTTAGGAAGATCTCTACCCGGTTATTAGCTGACTTCTAAGCTAATCATATAGTGAACCCCATTGGCTATCTCATGCCAACAATTAGTTTTTAAAAGTCACCAACAAAAGTCCTGAGCAAACACACAATCAAATAAATAAATAAAAAAAAAACAAGTAACAAGAGTGAGCATGTGCTTGTAGTTCCAACTACAAGTATAAGTTTAGTTTGGGCAGCATAGAGAACTCCCATCTAAAACATAAACAACCCCCAAATGAAAGGCAAGGAGAAACCAAGACATTTCCCAGGTAAATAATGACAGTGAGGTTCTCTATTTGATAGGACCCATAAGAAATGTCAAAAGGCACTCTTCAAACTAAAATAAAGGGACAGTGGAGCATATCCAAAACTAATATTAAGAAATAAAAAAGCACCCATAGAGGTTACTGTATAGGTGAATATCGAGTGTAAACATACTTTTCCAACCTGACTTAAAAACAAAAAAATTTACAAAACAATAGTATTTTTGGTTGTGAGCCTAGCCTTTAACAGCTGAGCCATCTCTTTATCCCTGCAAAACAATAATTCTAAATCAATGCTCATATCATTATAATATACTAAGATATAATTTGCAGTAATGGTGGAATTAAATGATAAGAAATTGAGCTGTACACCAACAGCATTTTGTATACTATGAAATTAAACTGGAATAAATCCAATAAATTAGGAATTGATGGTATCCTACAGACAGAAATAATGAAAACACTTAGTAAATGCCTTAGTTAAGATTCTATGGTTGTGATAAAACACCATGACTGAAAGCAACATGAGTAAAAAAGAATTTATTTCAGCTTACAAACCTCAGGTCATGCTCTGTCACTTAGAGAAGTTATGGCAGGGACTCATGGTAGGAACCTAGAGGCAGGAACTTCAGAAGCAGGAGCCATGGAGGAATGTTGCTTATTGGATTTCTCCCCATGGCTCACTCAGCCTGCTTTCTTATAGCACCCAGGATCACCAACCCAGCACTGCCTGTGGTGAATTGGGCCCTCTCTCATCAATCATTGGCCAAGAAAATATACCACAGGCTTGCTCAAAGGCCAGTCTAGTGGGGACATTTTCTCAGATGAGGTTTTCTCATCCAAAATGACTCTAGCTTCTATGAAATTGACATAAAACTACCCAACACAACAAACTAAACAATAATTGAAGTATACAATGCACTAGAAATTATCAATTGAGCATCAAAGGTAGAAGCAATGGATGAATATAGAAAGAAGTATAAAGGATAAAGACTATAAATAGAAAATTGGATGTAAATCTTTTATCAATAATTAGATTAAATATAAGTAGAAATGTTCAGATAGAAAGGCAGAGAGTCAGAGAGTATCACATCTAAGTATATGATATGCTTGCTTACTCAAAGGAAAAAAAAGGTTTTAAAGTAAAAGAATGTCAAAAGATGTACCATGCAGCCATTAGCCAAGATATAGGTAGAATGACTATACTGATATATGGCAATTATATTTGAGAAAAAATATTTTACTCTGGACAAAGAAGAACAACTTGTAATCATAAAATTACTTTTGTGAAGGATAAAACTCATTTATAAACTTATAATGATAATAATAAAGCCCCAAAAATTCATGAAGAAAAAATTATTAGAATCGGTTAGAGAAATGTTCACTTTTCCAATAATAATTTGCATTCAATACCCCACTTTAAATGATGTATATAGTAACTACAACAGAGGTAATTAAGGAGCTTCAAGGATTGAACAACAATGTTAACCAACAGTGACATATATAACATATTCATGTAATAATAGCAGAGTAGATATTATTATCAAGTACACATGGAACATTATTTGAAACAGATGATAAATTTTACATAAACTATTCTCAGTAAATTATAAAAACATCCGTAATAATATGCATCTTCTCCAGCTGAATTAAATAAAATTAGAAGTAGGGCCTGGAGTGTTGGCATAGTGGTTAAGAGTTCTTTTTGCTCTTGCTGAGGACCTGGCTATGGTTCCCAGCCCTGACATAGCCACTCATTACTATATAGAGCCCAAGTTCCAGGGAATCAATGTGCTCTTCTGATCTCCACAGGCACCAGGCAAGTACTTTGTACGTACATATTATGCTTGTTTGAATGAAAATGGCCCCTATAGGTTCATATATTTGAAACTATGGTCCCTAGTTGGTGCCACAGTTTGGGAAGGATTAGGAGATGTGGCCTTATTGGAGGAAATGTGTCACTAGGGATCAGCTTTGACGTTTCAAAAGATTTGTGCCCTTCCCAGGTTTCTCTTGCTCAGCCTCCTGTTTTCAGATCAAGATGTGAGCTCTAACTGTTCCTGCAGTCATGCCTTTGCTCTGGTGTCATGCACAATAATCTTTTGAAGCACTCATATCCATAAAATAATAAATAAATACATTTTAAAAAGGAAATGTTAACTTCTAAAGATGAACCAGGAAACTTCAAATTATGGAATGTAAACAAGTAAAAAATTATTGGACTGCTGGTTAAACAGCTCTAAGGAGGAAAAGTCAAGCCAAAGTGGCTTCACTATTCAGTTCTACCAGACCTTAGGCAAGTCAAAGAATGATAGGTCTAGCAGAACATGCCAAAAAATACAAGTATTCAGATAAAAAATAGGCTAGTGTAAAGGGTGTTGTTTCTCTGATTTCTTTCTCAGCCCATTTATCATTTGTATATAGGATGGCCAGTGTTGTGGTAGTATTTGTGTTCCCCAAAATATTGTTCACCCTAATAAATTTATGTGGGGTCATTGACAGAACAGCCATTGGATACAAAGGCTAGAAAATGGTGGC